TTCTTCTTTCTCTAATTGCTTTAGGTGTGAGGTTAGGTTGTTTACTTCAGATTTTTCTTGTTTCTTGAGGTAGGATTGTATTGCTATATACTTCCCTCTTATAACTGCTTTTGCTGCATCCCATAGGTTTTGGATCGTCATGTTTTCATTGTCATTTGTCTCTAAGTATTTTTTGATTTCCTCTTTGATTTCTTCAGTGATCTCTTGGTTATTTAGTAATGTATTCTTTAACCTCCATGTGTTTGTGTTTTTTATGTTTTTTTCCCTGTAACTGATTTCTAATCTTATAGCATTGTGGTCAGAAGAGATGCTTGATATGATTTCAATTTTCTTAAATTTACTGAAGCTTGATTTGTGACCCAAGATGTGATCTATCCTGGAGAATATTCCATGTGCACTTGAGTAGAAAGTGTAATCTGCTGTTTTTGGTTGGAATGTCCTATAAATATCAATTAAATCTATCCGGTCTATTGTGTCATTTAAAGCTTGTGTTTTCTTATTAATTTTCTGTTTGGATGACCTGTTCATTGGTTTAAGTGAGGTGTTAATGTCCCCCACTATTATTGTGTTACTGTTGATTTCCTCTTTTATAGCTGTTACCTTATGTATTGAGGTGCTCCTATGTTGAGTGCATATATGTTTATAATTGTTATATATTTTTCTTGGATTGATCCCTTGATCATTATGTAGTGTCCTTCCTTGTCTGTTGTAACACTCTTTATTTTAAAGTCTATTTTATCTGATATGAGTATTGCTACTCCAGCTTTCTTTTGATTTCTATTGACATGGGATATCTTTTTCCATCCCCTCACTTTCACTCTGTATGTGTCCCTAGGTCTGAATTTGGTCTCTTGTAGACAGCATATATATGGGTCTTGTCTTTTATCCATTCAGTGAGCCTGTGTCTTTTGGCTGGAGCACTTAATCCATTCACGTTTAAGGTAATTATCGATATGTATGTTCCTGTTACCATTTTCTTCATTGTTATGAGTTTGTTTTTGTAGGTCATTTTCTTCTCTTATGTTTCCCACTTAGAGAAAGTTCCTTTAGCTTTTGTTGTAGAGCTGGTTTGGTGGTGCTTAGCTTTTGCTGGTCTGTAAAGCTTTTGATTTCTCTGTCGAATCTGAATGAGATCTTTGCTGGGTAGAGTAATCTTGGTTGTAGGCTCTTCCTTTTCATTACTTTAACTATATCATGCCACTCCATTCTGGCTTGTAGAGTTTCTGCTGAGAAATCAGCTGTTAACCTTATGGGAGTTCCCTTGTATGTTATTTGTCGTTTTTCCCTTGTTGCTTTCAATAATTTTTCTTTGTCTTTAATTTTTGTCAGTTTGATTACTATGTGTCTCGGCGTGTTTCTCCTTGGGTTTATCCTGTGTGGGACTCTCTGCACTTCCTGGACTTGGGTGGCTATTTCCTTTCCCATGTTAGGGAAGTTTTTGACTACAATCTCTTCAAATATTTTCTTGGGTCCTTTCTCTCTCTCTTCTCCTTCTGGGACTCCTATAATGCGAATTTTGTTGCGTTTAATGTTGTCCCAGAGGTCTCTTAGACTGCCTTCATTTCTTTTCATTCTTTTTTCTTCATTCTGTTCCGTGGCAGTGAATTCCACCATTCTGTCTTCCAGTTCACTTATCCGTTCTTCTGCCTCTGTTATTCTGCTATTGATTCCTTCCAGTGTATTTTTCATTTCAGTTATTGTATTGTTCATCTCTGGTTTTTTGTTCTTTAATTCTTCTAGGTCTTTGTTAAACATTTGCTGCATCTTCTCGAACTTTGCCTCCATTCTTTTTCCAGGGTCCTGGATCATCTTCACTATCATTCTGAATTCTTTTTTTGGAAGGTTGCCTATCTTTATTTAGTTGTTTTTCTGGGGTTTAATCTTGTTCCTTCATCTGATACATAGCCCCCTGCCTTTTCATCTTGTCTATATTTCTGTGTATGTGGCTTTTGTTCCACAGACTGCAGGATTGTGGTTCTTCTTGCTTCTGCTGTCTTCCCTCTGGTGGATGAGGCTATCTAAGAGGTGTGTGCAAGTTTCCTGATGGGAGGGACTGGTGGTGGGTAGACATGCATGTTACTCTGGTGGGCAGAGCTCAGTGAAACTTTAATCTGCTTGTCTGCTGATGGGTGGGGCGTGGTTCCCTCCCTCTTGGTTATTTGGCCTGAGGTAACCCAACACTGGAGCCTATCTGGCTCTTTGACGGGGCTAATGGCAGAATACGGGAGAGCTCACATCAAGGAGTACTTCCCAGAACTTCTGGTGCCAGTTTCCTTGTCCTCACAGTGAGCCACAGCCACCCCCTGCCTCTGCAGGAGACCCTCCAACACTAGAGGTAGGTCTGGTTCAGTCTTTTATGGGGTCACTGCTCCTTCCCCTGGGTCCCAATGTACACACTACTTTGTGTGTGCTCTCCAAGAGTGCAGTCTCTGTTTCCCCCAGTCCTGTCAAAGTCCTGCAGCCAAATTGTGCTAGCCTTCAAAGTCTGATTCTCTAGGAATTCCTCCTTCCATTGCCGGATCCCCAGGTTGGGAAGCCTGACACAGGGCTCAGAACCTTCCCTCCAGTGAGTGGGTTTCTGTAGTATAAGTGTTCTTCAGCTTGTGAGTCACCCACCCAGCAGTTATGGGATTTGATTTGTGATTTCACCCCTCCTACCATCTCATTGTGGCTTCTCCTTTGTTTTTGGATGTGGGGTATCTTTTTTGGTGAGTTCCAGTGTCTTCTTGTCGATGATTGTTCAGCAGTTAGTTGTGACTCTGGTGCTCTCGCAAGAGGGAGTGAGCACATGTCCTTCTACTCAGCCATCTTGAACCAATCTCTGCTTCTTATACTCTTTACTACTTATTCTCCAGGGTCCTTGGCAGTCAAATCAAGAGGGCAGTATTACTCATCCAGTCAGAACTCTACCCTATAGCATTCTCCCAAAGCCTTCTAATCTCTAAACTACATCTCAGAAAGACACTCAGGGGTACACATGTCTCACTTTAGGGGTGCACTTGTTCTAGACCTTACATAGCACTTAATGCAATAGAACAGGATGTACACTGATAGAATGTTTATATCTCACTCCCAGAATCAGGTCCAGCATTTAAAAATTTTACCCAGTGAACTTCATGTTCATTGATCACAGGATAATGCTTCTTCTTCTGTGAAACTAAGGGTACCAGAAATGTCCCAATGATTCAGCTGCTGTCACTTTTAGGAGTATTTGCTAACACAGCCAAGGGACAAATTATACCCAATGGGACTTGTCTTGCTTATGAGAGACAAAACTGCTCACTTGTCGGCCACAATTTCTGGCTCTTGTATATCCTCCAAATCCTGCTCCACTGTGCACACTCTCTACAAATGAGTTCCAAACACCTTGCTATAAACCCTCCTCTGTTTTTGGAAACAGCCCCACTGGGCATGTTGAAGCTATAGCATCCTTATTAACATAATTCCTCTTTCTTTTCCCTGTGGCCATGACTGGATGTTAGCCTTCTAACATCCAAAGTTGTGTGAGATAAAGATTTGATTGTAACTGGGAGCCATCTGGCACAGGTCAGAACATGTTTTATGGGTAGGCTGTCCAAGTGCAAAGGCTTGGGTGTATTCTCTGCAGGCCATCAACTTCCCTATGACTAACTGGGCCATCACTTGCAGTTCTGATTAAGCACATCACTACCCATATGAAGCATTCTCTGGTTCCAAATGTTCACATTGTTTCCATCATGGCTATCTTTTCTGGTACCTGTCTTCAACAGTGAAGTGACATCAACCCCTTGACAGTTCCCTGAGGGAGTCAACAGAACCAGCCTGTTTCTGGCCTCAGTGTCTCCTGAGGCTGCTTGTATACCTCCTTTGGATGTCAGTTATTGGCTGTTAATTGTTTCTTAGTTTGAAATAGAATAAATAATAGAAGGACATTGAGACTTTCTGAAACCCAAGATGGACATGAATTACATATTCATAAATATTTGTAAATATTGACAAATAGGAACTTATCTGACTTGACCATTCATAAGGCAAGAGAAGCAAATGTTATATGAAAGTGGTATGTCAAGGACTGCGCAAAGCCTGGGGTGGAAATGGATCTGATCCCAAATAGACAATATTGAGCATAATAGCATAAAATTGTTGGCTGAAAGAAAATGATGATATTGAAGGAGGATATGGTGTTTTGGCCAAAGTTTATGAGAACTGGGAGTGTCATCCTTAAACCCAAAGGGCAGATGTAAGTAAATACCTAGGGATTATCTGAATCTGTATCGAATAGAAATCAAATTCCTTATCTTGCATCATATAAAAAGGTAATACAAGATAATGAGACAAAATGATAAATCAACCCAATCTGGTCTGTTGTCGTATGCTTTAGTTAGTTCACTATTTCTATCTATCTGAATAAATTCAGATAATTTTTCTTGCATTAAAGCCTTTAGTATCCATCCACCATTCAATTTCTACCCATCCTACAAAGCCTACTATAAATCTATTTCTACTCGGAAGCATCCACTGCTCTCCCTTTAGGCTCCATCTTTACAGAACTTGTCTGCCACTCACGTGAATACCTTCATGACACACAGCCTTGTGTTACTCAGTGTTCCCTTTTATGAATTATTTTTATTATCTCACCTCTTGAGATTGGAAGCCTTCACCAAAGCAGTTAGCTTAGCACAGCTATGTGGCAGCTACTCACACTTGTTGATGGGTGGGGTTTTAAACATTGTAGAAGTGAAGAAAAACTAAAATAACAAACACTGTGACACAACGGACATGAACGATGTGAAAACCAATTTGTATGGGAGCTGAGGCCTCCCAAGGAGTTTCAGGGCTTCTTTCTCAAGAAGTTCCCAGATGCCAGGCCTGAGGCAGAGTTCCCAGGGCAGGAGCTCCCTGGCTGCTCCCTTCCCTGAATTCGGAAGTCCAGTATAAAGTCCTAGTCAAAGGCCCCAAACTCACTGTCCAGAAAGAAAACTCAGGTTTGTACTGTTTGACAGGTCACCTTGCAGGACAGACCCCGGACTTCAGCAGTTGTCTTCAGTGACCCAAGCACGGGCAGGACATTCCGCAGGAGTTCTTGGATCCCAGCACGAGGCCATGTAGGGTGAGTCATGTGGGGCCTGAGAAAAACCAGATGCTTGGGAAAGAAGTAACAGGAGATACTGGAAATACTGTATGGTCTAGACTGAATGCTTCAGTGGTTTCAAGATAAATAAAGTAGGCCAAGGGTGAAATGTGTGAGCTCAGTCAGCTTTACCCAGGAGACTTCCAGCTCCTATCTTCAGGAAACAGCTAAGGCTCGCTTATGTGACCACAGGCAAACTTGGCATGCACTTTCCTTGCTTTCTTTCAGCCTGATCTGTGTACTTGAATTTATAGGATGGTACATTCCCATTACAATCATTTCTCCAGATTCTAGGGCCTGATCTTGGGGCATATGGAAAGGCAGTCTCTACAGGCGTTTCATTCCTGCAGGAGGTGCTAACTGAGGTACCTTCCCCTGCCGAGGAAGGATGGGTGTTCTGGGGCTCTGCTCTGGCTATTTGCTCTCCTCAGACGTTACCTGCAAGTGGATCAGTGCTGATGATTGGCATGTTCACCAGAGACAGATTTGCAAAGGCTGAGGGAGGACTGGCTGGATCCAGGAGGGGCCTGAGCCTAACGGTGCTTTAGCCAGATGGCATCAGAGAACGTTGTCATTCACACGGACATGAGAGATGGTCAGTGCAAATCTTTCGTTCAACAGGCTAGGGAAACAATGCTCCAAAACTAGTGCTTGCAGAATTGTCTCTCAACATTGTTTTCTTCACATCAGGTTCGGAGGTTCCATCCAGGCTCTGGTACTGTCATAACACAGGTCCTGTCCAGCTGGGCTCACCCATCTGTGCCTACGATATGCCAGAGCATTGTCTCAGCTTTCCCAGGGTGAGTTCCTGAATTGGCTTTGTTTCCAGTCATCCTGTTTCTGACCCTCACTTTGATCCTTTGGCTCATGTCCCACTCAGCTCCTCTAGCCTGATGACCTTTTTGATTTATTATTCTTTTGACTTGACTTAACTGGACTTTTAATCAGCTTTCTTCCTCCTGCTAGTCCTATGCAAGCCCCTGTTGGCACCCTTCCAGGCTCCCTCCCACCCTTGCAGACTTTTCTCCAGGATAGCCTGATTGGGGATGAACTAACTTCACCATCCCTCCCGCATCTGACTTTGCCTGAGAAGGCTGTAGGAAGCAGCTCTGCAGAAACAGATGTGTAATCAAGTTATATGAGAAAGCCAGAGTCATTATACTTAACAGACCCAAATTCTCCGTCAACAGATAGACTATCGTAATATTTAGTCTATTGACTAATTAAATTAATGTTGAAACCACCAAGCCCTTAGAGGACCACAGGTGGCAAGTGTCAAAGAACTGACTTTGATGGGCAAGTAAACTTTTAAGTCTTTGAAGAAAATCCAGGCTTGAGATCCCAGGCTTACAAATGGAATTCACAGCCAGGCTTGTGATTACAGTGGCAGTGTATAGTGGTAATAAAAAAATGAAGAAATACAAATCTTCTGAAGAAAATTGAAATTGTATCCACATGAACATAATTTAAGTAAATACTCTGAGCACTAACGCAATGCCTTTCAGATTGTCAGCTTTCCAGGCAGACACATTCAAATACCGGAGTCTGCATTTCCAAGATAAATTCAGTTTTTCACGCCTCTCAGACCTAATATGTGAAGTTAAGGACTGTAAGTGAGCAGTAATGTTTTTCTTCATTGTGTTTTACTATTTATTTAGCCCAGCATTGCCTCTGTGATGTTTCAGTCTGCACAATGGAGAATAAAGCATCTTATAATTTCTTCCTTTGGACTTGTGGTTCCACTGTGCCTTCTACCCAAGAAATTTCCCCTCTCATCTCTGTTTTTCCAAATCCAACCATCCTTGAAGGACAGTGAAAGTCCTGCCTCTTCCTTGAAGCCTTCTATGATGTTATCAGCCAAGCATGTTTTGTTTTGTCTTATCTTTTGAGCTTTTGTACTGATCATTGAACTTCCCATTCTTCTAGCATTGCTTGATTATACGAACCAAATATTAAAGCTCATGAAAATTTACCCGGGGATACAGATCAACATACGACCTCATCTAGCGTGCTTTCTATCAAAATACAGTTACTTATTTAGGAATTTGGATTTTTGTTTTAATGATATCTTAGTTCTAGGATTAAGCGTGGCTTCCTTTTAAAATGGGTTGCAAACTGGCAGCTTGTGGACAATATTCAACACAAGAAATGGGTTTTTTTTGCCCTACACAGTGTTGGGTGGCCCAATGTTTTAATCAAGTCAAATTATTATATGCTCAATATTTTAAAATTTGGAACTTTCCTCAAAAATATATATTTCTAACCTTGCTTCAGCTCTCTGAAGATTTGGTGGCACTGGGCCCTCCTGATTACCTGTAGGAGGGCCGCTCACTCCGGATAGAGTCAGCACTCCGATTGCTCCAGTCCTTATGTCACTCGTGTTTCTACAGCACGGAAACTGAGGGCCCTTTGCCTTCCATCATTTTCCAAGCATCTCACTTCATCCATTTGCCTTATCTGTCTTGTCTCCATAAGCATCTGAGTTTGCAAGGTCCCTTTTCTCTAAATTGTTTTTACCTACAGTTTAGCCTAACTCTTTTTGCTTTCTTCAGATTTTAGTAGCAGTTTTAAAGTTCCTCTTGTCTTCACTTTAGGTGTCAACATTCTCTGACCTAGCTCACTGGCTTGCTGAGAGTCTTCAGAACTTCAAAGCAACTTAATTTCAAAAGCTCTTAAGGACATACCTTGAAATAATCTGCCTTCTTAACTCTTAATTATCGAAACACTTCTCATTCACTCTCTGCTCCCTAACTCTTTTTTGAAGAGAAACTGACTTCTGATCAGTATTGCCTGCTCCATTCTGTTCGGTGAAAGTTAGAAAGAGCAAGATGGTAGCATCATCCCCCCTGCCCGTGTCCCTAGACAGTGGAGAGCAGCCTATTTTGCAATACAGGTGAGAGAAGTCTTCCACCAGCTTGAGGGTCATGCTGGCATCCACATTATTGTAAGTCACCTCCAGGAAGCAAGAACTGATACCTGCAAGGACCACACAATTGTGATGATCTTCCCTGTGGACGAGACCCAGGGAACCAACCTGGCACTTATGGAAACTAAGCCTGGAGAAGGGCTGTGCAGTTCAGCCTGTTCTCCTCCTGATCCAGTCTGTAAATATGCAGCCAAATCTCATGACACTCTGAGCTAATGGCGTTCAGCAACTGGAAGGTCTTTGGAGGGCAATCAGGTGCTAATAAAAATATGCTAATGGCAGCTTGTGATCTAGCAGCAGGACCCCAGGATTTGGGGTTGGCATGGCAACTGCCAGCAGATAGTTCACGCAGAACAGGAACAACGGAAAGAATTAGAATGAGCTGCTTAAATGCAAGTGTTAATGAAAAATGTGAAACACAAGTGAGGATCAGAGAGAAGGTTTGGTGCCCTCAGCGGCAAAAACAAAACACACAAACACACAAACCAGAAAACCTGAAAGCAAAATGAAGGCCTTCCTTTCTGCTATGGCCATAGAAGGCAAGCCAGTCACTGGGAAGAATTTAGTATTTAGCCTGATGGTTTTATAGAAGACCTATGGCCCTGTAGAAATCTGTGTCTCATATGTGCATGAGAGAAGTGTCATATGTGTATGTGTCTCCCTGCCAAGGCTGAAAGAAGAGGTCTGACAGGGAACAGCTTTTAGCAATCTACTGTATCAAAGGCAGTACAGATGGCCGTTTTTGCTTTTAGTTTAACTGAATGTCAAAGAAAGAAAAGGGGAGCTCCCTCACAAGAACATATCCAATATGTAGAAAGAGCTTGAAACTGGGGCTTGTACCCATGTGCATATCAATCACTGTGAAAACCTAAGGCATGTTTCAATGTGTGTGCACATGTGGGCATTCCTGTAGTTTACACGTGCCCTGCTCTCTTTCCCCTCTTTGCCTGAAGCTGGAAGTTTCATAGTAAGTCAGTCTCTGCCACTGTGGGCTTGAGACCACAAAGAACAAGATTCTTTCCTGCTTTTCCACTGCAAAGAGTCAATGCCGTTGGAAATGATTTCCCATGGCGGGGATGGACAAGAAGGCTAAGTTCACTGTCTCCGTTAGCTTTGCTAGCTTATGTGGCTGAGGGCAATGATACAGAATAAAATCATTGGAAGGGAGCTGTCTGAGACAGGCAGGGATGGGAATGACTCCAGGAAAACAGAAGTAATTTATCTGCAGCCATCACAGACACTCTCACGTGCCGAAGATGGAAATGAAGCCAGCTATGCAGAAAATGAGGCATGCATATCTCTGGGGGCGCAGAGGAAAAAGGAAACAGAGAGGTAGATGGACCATGAATTGAGTTTGGGAATATAGGGGATCCTGGGAAAAATCTGTAAAAGCTCAAAGGACAATCCATAGGCAGAAGAGTAGGAATTCAACTCCTAAGATTCGTGTTTCAGTTCATGCTGTCCTTAGCCTCACCTGAAACTTCTACTTTGGGAAAAGGTTGTGTCATTTGACAAATACACTTTTCCAATGACTTAGGCATAGCTTCCTTTTCTTAGTCACTTCCTTCCTTCTCTTTGATACAATAGGCCCTTAAAGAAAGACCAGGGGAGAAAAGCTGGTGGAAATGCGTGAGACTTGAAACAATTGCTATTGTCCTAGACATGGTCAATCTAGCAGTGACTGACAGGTGTTCTGCTGCTGAAAGGATGGTCCTAGGTATGGCTTCATGTAAATAATATCTGGGGAAATCAAGATTTTGTGGGGACAGCCTGAAGTTTATATAATTGGGGAAGCCCCATTTAAGAAAAAAAAAAAACAGAATTACAATACAAAATTGCTAAGACCCTCCTAGAGCCTTGGAAAGGTCTGGGCAAGCGAGGAGCATGTCAGATAATATTCACTACCTGCCGTATATTATTATGTCAACACCTGCGGGGGCAGGGGAGTGCCTTTCCATTGAGGGGTCCTTAGGCAAGAAAAAATAGGGTCCATTTATTCTTTTTAATTTAAGCAGTCAGCCAAGATGTAGCCTGGGCTTAAAACACCCACACTGTTGTCTGCTCATTAGACTAAATGCTGCATCCTGTACTGTTAATAGCACTTCCTGAGGAAATGGGCTGAAATTCCAAGATAATATTACTAAGAAACCAAGAGACGTTAAGGTGACAGGCATATTTCTAGAGACACCTACATGACTATAGTATGTCACCTCAAATAAGACACAATCTCTTGGTCTTGTAGCAGACCTGATGGTGATGTGTATGGTATAAAACTGAAAGAAGCCAAAAGGTTCACTTTGAATCCTTCTAGACGCCAAAGGCAGGCAGCTCATTGCTTAGAGGATAAGTACAAATTTAACTGGAGCTATTGTAAATAGTATGAGACTCCTAAAGAGTGATGTGACATAAGAAAATAGAGCCCTGAGGTGATAATAGGAGTCTTTTGTTTTGGACTCACAGGAACACCTGTGCTTCAGCTCCACAGGAATTTAAGGGAGCCACGGAATTTCTGTCTTCATCAGGGGATGTCTTCCTGCTGGGCTCTTCTGAGGGGCCGTTTCTTCTGGGGTTGCTGGCGTCAGGCACAAAGGATGTGAATGGATGAATGAGGACTTTCTTCTGCAAGGGCGCCCTCTGGTGGGAAACTCATTAATTATCTTGCAAGGGAAGGGGCTGTCCACCTACCCTGTCATCTTACACAAGGCACAGTTGTGAAGATTCCCAAAGTTTCCTATAAAACCTCAAAGACCAAGTCTCATCCAGCACTGATCTCTCCTCTCTCTTCTCACTGTGGCTGAACTGGTGTATTTCTCAATTCTATGAGATCCTTCTAAACCGGTAACCCAGTTCCCTGTCAAAGTGAGTGTCCTGAAC